GAGTTCTATATTATAAGTACGAGATGGTACTTTTAGGCTATCCTACCAGAAGAAATATGTTTGATAAATGCTTATTTAATTTAGAACATTCTTCATGAGTTGCCGAAACATCCTAAACTTGTCTCGAAACTGCACAATGTTTCTTTACTTCTGAGAAATTTATTCGTTTTACATATTTAATTTTTAACTATTACAGTTGTAGTTATTCATTTACTCTGTTATAAATCATATAATTTTAGTTAATAACCTTCTTCATTAAATTTCCTTCTTTATTAATAAATCTCGGTAGCTCCATACAGAATATTTACCTTGGTAAAAAAACACTGTATTTTTTCTATGTTAGTAAATGCATGGAGTCATTGCGTTTTACAGTCAATGTAAGGTAGAAAAATTTAAAATACTACAGAGCGTTACTTTCATTAAATATTATAATATAAAAACAATATTTTTTAAATTTATTATGTGGACTACTCTTTGGATGATTTGCGAAAGAGTTTCTTTCTTGAAACATTTCTTTTATTTTCACCTGCTTGTATGGTATTCAATTAGTAACGTTCTTTAATTCTTCTAGAGATTAATTCATTGTTGAATAATTCAAATTAATGAAATGCAATTTGCAATAATCCATTTTCAAATTTTAATTTTGGACATTCAAGTCATTAATTATTGTAGGTTGTTTCTGGGAAGAAATTAATAAAAATCTTTCAAACAAAATATAATGTAGGTAATGATGTAACTAACCCATTTGAGCAAGCTTATTATAATAAAATATAAATAACTGAACTGAAAAGATTATGTGCTAAATGAAATCGTAAGCTTCCGCGGCCAGTCATGGTTTGTGCTGTCCGGATGACGCCGCGTCATAGGCTGAGGTAGGCAAAGATTATATCCTACCGCCGGGCCTCTCGAATCTAATCTATCTGCGGCTCCATAGAGGATATAAAGAGCAAATTCTATATTTTACTACCAGCTCAAACGTAGGGTTTGGGAAAGAATTGAATAGAGTTGACGTTAAAGTCGACTAAATCCTTAGCCATGATTCAGTCTCGAGAGACGGATTCGACCAATCTCGTGTAGTAAATCTGTAAAAAGAACTAATTTGATGTCCCTCCTATTCGGCTCCCAGTGAACCGTTTTAAGCAAGTGAAGTACCAAAAAAGAGAAAAAAAATAGGAGTGGAGGACACTCTATATTGAATAGATCCTTTATTAATAATAAGCTACGAAATTGTTTGAAATGCATGGCTGAAATGAAAACGGGAAGATGGCCTTTTGTGCAACTTGAAAAGTTCGCGGGAAATGGCTTTTTTAAATAATTTGTTACGTCTGCATAGATGCAACGCGTCTCCAAGCCCTTTGGGGGGCGTGGAGTGCTTCGCGCTTGGAGTAATCCTCCATTAATTTAGTGCGCTTATTATGAGTAATCCTCCATTACTATAATATAGTATGTCATATCACGTCTCGTCGCAGTCAGTTGTCAAGAGGACCGCCAGGTAGCATCTCCGCGTATGTGTCTCCTACCACGTGCTCCTACGTCACCCGACGTAGACGCGCCTACGAGGCCAGAACTAAGAAGGAAGAGATAGGGTTTAGATTTAAGACGCTTCGCAGGTTTTGGACTAGCCCATGTGAAACAGGCAAACTCGCTTTGTCGTTGCAAATTCCATACGAGGTTCACGGGACTCTACGGGAATCGCACCCGGAACCTCAGTGGTGAAAGATAGGCGATTTTGCCAAGAGAGCTCTTGATTAGCAGTTGGTCTTGTTTAGAGGATATCGTGTTGTGAGATGGTTAAAACGATTGTTTGTGACTATCAATTGTATTCAGTGAACTTTTTTATATATACGTCTTGTGATATCTACGGAAAACGTCAAAAGGTGAGGGAGTTCTGATTATTATTTGGAAATTGTATTTCATAAATTTTGGTTCAAACATTAAGATAAGTCACTGTAATGGCAAGAGTTGTTGCCCTGACCTATCTCAGGCAATTGTAATTAAAAAGTGAATTGAAGTATTAAATAAATGGAAAATATAGATAAGGAAAAATGGAGGTAGATACCAGGGTAGATCTATGAAAAAAGAACCATACCACTTTTACCACGAAATTCAGTAAAATCTGTGTAATCCGGAACCTGTACAAGTCGGAAAGATGGCTCAACCTAAAAATGCGTTCGTAGGCTTCCGCGGCCGGAGTTTTCTTCTGGCAACTCCCTTTTCTGGACGTGCTAGTGACCAGGCACCCTGACGTCACACTCGGTCATTCTGTCTACCGCAAACCCACCCCAATCGCTACCAACATACTGACTCACACCACCATTCTGCCACGAAACGTGGTGTCATTTCCACACTCACTCACCGGGCCTCCCTTATATGTGACCTCAACAGCCTGGCGTCTGAGAAGGTACTGCTGAGGAAGACCTTTCTGGCTAATGGCTACAGCAGATCCGCCGTGAACCAAGACCTATCGAGGCTCCACTATACCACCTCGAATGCACGTAATGAACCTTGCAGCCCGCCCCAGCAGACAGCCCGCTTGCCTTACATCAAAGGAGTCACGGACAAGATCGGTAGATTGCTGCGCAGAGCTGATATCCGCTCCGTGTTTCACGCTCGCAACAAAATCGGGAGGAGCCTGGTACAGGTAAAGGATCGTCTGGACCCTCTTCAAGATGGCGTTTATGAAATCCTGTGCAGCTGTGGTCTAGTGTACATCGGACCAACCGGGCGCACGGTAGAAGAGCGTATGCGGGACCACAAGTGACATGACCGGCTTCATCATATCCACAAATCAACCTTGGCACAACACGCCGCGGAAACGGATCACCTCGACAATTACCACAGAACCTGCACTATAACAACAGAAGACTGATGGTGGCCTCGTCTGATCAAAGAGGCTTTGGAAATCTCTAGGAGGCCCGCAAACCTCAATAGAGATGATGGGCTCCGTCTTAGCAACACCTGGAGACGGGCTGTTGCCCTCCGCCAATCCGGTCCCGCCTCGCGGAGACCCCCCCCCCCGCGGACGGCCAATGACATGGCCGCCCTTTGGACCGTTATTTTTTCGATATTTCCGCCGTTCCCCTCCACACAGATGCATCTTCCAGTTCCCTTCCCTTCTATCCTGTTCAGTTTTCTATTATCTACACTTTCCTCCCCACGCCCCTCCCCCATCTCATCTGGTCACCAGCCATCGCCCTTTTCCTTCTCCGCCAATCACGGGACACCTGCTCTTCTCCGAAGGCCGCCGATGCGCCCAGTCGGCCTTCGCGTCTTTCCTACAAGATAAGACACGCCAACCTCTTGGCAGCAGTATAGCTCTGAAGAAGGCCACAGCAAGATGGCCGAAACGTCAGTACAATTGACAGAGACGCGGCTCATCCCAGATAGCCAAGAATGCATCAACCTAAAACTCTCTCTGGACCGCGAAGTTAAATGGCATTTTACATAGCATAAAATGGAAACTCTCCAACGCGGAAAAAGAACAGTTTTTCATGTTCTGCAGAGAGGAAAATCTTTATAAATCGGAATACCTATGAATTTAAGTGCAAATGTTAGAGAGACGGGAGGTTTTCTTATTGAAATAAACGCATCTGCTTAAATTTTCTTTCTCTGTGGCAGCAATTTAGTCGTGATAATCGGACATTGAAGTAGAAGGGCTTTAGCTGTCAGCGTAGAATTTGATCTTCGAGTCGCTTGTCTCTTAAGGCGCAGGCCGTAGGGAAATTCATTTTCTCCCTATTCTGAACGCGGGAAGATGTGGGAGCATAGCTTCTGCGTCTCCCTGCCTCGCGTTGAAAATCATAACCCTTCGATCATATATGCATTGTATCAAGAAGAAGCAATATTATCGAAATGTCGAAATTTATTCTCAAAAAATATTAGCCCAATGGATACTTTTCTTGCATTAATTCTTGAATTCAAAGATCAGTGATCTTTTGAAATGAGAAACTCACATATATTTTTTAAATTAAAATAATATAATCTTATGTATAAATTAAATGTTTGTTCATACTTAATGCCCTGCCGTACCTTTCATCCGATTGCGATAAAACTTGGTCAACTTTTGCTTTCAGGAAGAATATAGGTATAATACGACAGAAATGCCTGCGCAAATAGACGCGCGTTAATTATGGTTTTATGCTTACTTAAGCGCCATAAATAGGGCTCTCTACATAACTGCACTTGACGCAATGCGTTGCAACACTGAAGTAAGAGTAATAAGACGCTTTCATTTCGTACTCTGTCCCTGCAATTGTGAAATTTTTTCGGAGAGAGATACAGGAAGAGAGAGGAAGACAGAGACCCAGAGTGAGAAACTAACAGAAACAGTCAGAGAAAGAGAGAGAGACAGAGACAGATAAAGGATGAGACGGAAAGACACGGAGAGAGAGGGAGAGAGAGGGAGAGAGAGAGAGAGAGAGAGAGAGAGAGAGAGAGACGGAATCACACTCGTGAGAAAGTCTTTCGTCTATTGATTTTTTTTGCAGTGCGTGGCGTGAAACATGAAACAATCACGTAACCGTTAGCATAAAAGAGTAATACATTGCAATAGTGAAGCACCGCCATCCACATGTCCCATATAAAAATATCGTTGAAATACAGTACTGTTTATTCATTCCCTTTTATTTTAAATTTCCTTCCGTTTTTTACAAGAATACTATCCAGTATTGCACTAGTTCCTTTAATTTCAAACCTTATAAACAATAGTTTTCTAATTTGTCGTTTTTGTGTTCACTGAAATCGACTTAATTTGGCTATATGTAAGTTTAATATCTAAGTTTCCAAACACTATTCTTTGTTGAATAATTAAATCATCAGTTCACTTATAGATACTTGAAATGTGCTCCTTATGTTTCTCATTATCTATCGTGTAAAAGAATTCTAAGATAAACCTTTTTAATTACTTAATTACACTCTCCAAAGCAAAGGAAAAAATCCGAAGCTTAAGCCCTTGTCCCCGAGAAGAGAAGGAAGGAGAGTGAAAGCAATAAGTCACCAACCGTTCAGTAGCAAGCACTGGCGACCACAGGGCGCTCAACCCTTCCAATGAGTTTTCAGGTTCCAGATAACTCCACACGGCAACCCGGGATCCGGCGCCCTAAAAAAGAAAAAAATAAACCCAGGGATTACGAGATTCGTCTCTCTTTTCGGAATACCGGGATTACAGCCGCCCTAGACTCTGTGCGTGCGGCAACGCAGCAATCCTCAGAGAGGCGTTCTCTCCACCCACCCGACCACGCGTTGGCGCCCTCGCCCCTCGCCGCATAACAAGGAAGTGGAAAGGAAGTGTGGACGGGCGAGGAGAAGGTTCGGAGGCGAAGGCCGGGGACATCGGGAGGCGGGGTTGTCTGGCGGAGGCTGTGGCGGACGGGAAGAAGTATCGCACACGGGGGCGGAGGTAGAGGTGGTGGTGGTAAAGGTGAAGGGGAAGTTGTAAGAGAGGCAAGAAGCAGCTGAATGTGGAGTCAGTGGATGCGGTGGCGGCCAAATAGAGAAAGGCGGGATAGAGAAAAGGTAAATAGAAAGGCAAGATAGAGAGAATGGCGAGTTGGAGAGAAATGCGAGATAGAAAGAATGGAGAGCTACAGAGAAAGGCGAGATAGAAAGGGATAGGACGTTAAAGGAGATAGAGTGTAGACGTATGTAAAAAGGGAGACACCAAACTCAGTCACATGCTGAATTCACATGAGGGCCCCAAATCTAATAAATTCTGTAATTGTTGGACGCATGGTGAAAGTGGGCTAGAAAATATTGTCTGATTAGTGGAAGATCCGTGAGTTGAAGACTAGACAGAAGCGAGAATGAGAACAAGAGCAAAGCGCATCAAACTCGTAGCATGAAGTAGGAGGCATACATAAGATAAGCAGTCACACGGGTACAGACGATTTGGTCAGACGCAGTTCAGAGTATCAGGGAGGAAGGGCCCTGAGTTAAAGTCGGAAAACGAAGTAGCCGAGATTGGAGCTAGTGGTACAGCAATGGCAAGAAGAAAACTTTACTCAAAGTGAAAGTGGTGAAGAGTCACAGTAGAACCAAGGGAGACGGAGCAGATAAAGAAATATATGAAAAAGAAACAGAACAGCAAAGTTAAAAGAATTAGTCAGGGTACGATAGGAAGGACAACTTAAAAAAGAGAGTTCAGACGGCTTGTGCCAGGAGGGTAAGTTTGTTAGGTTGCGTGGGTGGGAACAGATCGGTAGATAGTCCAAGGACAGCAATGCGGGAGGGTTTAGCGGCGAGAGAGCAGTCCGACCATGCAGGGCGGGGTTGGTGGCGGGTAACTATCGGGAAAATTCTGTATGTACGAGATGATATCAGACGAGTAAGGTGGTGAGGGACCAATGGAAAAGGACTAGTTGGTAGAAAAACAGAACAATGTGGTAGTGCTGCACAGGGAGGGAAGTATATATCAGGAAAGAGCAGTAAAGGACCGGAAAGGCGCTGCGAAGGACAGAAATAGAAAAGGAAGGAAATAAACAATTGAGAAGCGGAAGGGGCAGTAAAGGAGGTTAAGTGGGGAGAATTATTGGCAGTGGGCAATGAAGGACGAGAAAGGTGTAGTGAATGACGGAGGAGAAGTGAAGGGCGGGAATGAACCAAGTAAGGAGGAGAAAGGGGGTGGAGGGGAAGGGGCAGTGAAGGGAGAGGGAAGAGCAGTGGAGGGCAAAGGGTAGTGGACTCGAAGGGCCATTTAAGGAGAGAAACGGGCAGTGGAGGATGGGAAGGAGTAATGGTGGGAAAGTGGTACGGGGGAAAAGGGGACGAAAGGCCAGTGCGGGACGGGAAGTGGCAGTGACGAGGAGCCAGTGAGAGAGGCGATGTGGGAGGGTAGGGGCGGCTGGAGAGTCGCAGGCCGGGCGCAGCGGGCTCGGGAAGGGGAGCGGGAGGAGGTGAAGCC